CTCTCTTTCTCACACCTCTCTCCCCACCTCTTCTTTCTTCCTCTGTTTTTATAATGCACACCAGACGTGCATTGAAGTACAGATTTAACTTGTATTTAGAATATAATATTACAATAATAATATTTATAATGCATGTATTATGTATTTATAACACTTGGATAATTAACTTATTTCAATAAAGCTGTTCACATTCTCTACTGGTTGAAATTAAGTCTCTCATTTGATCAAATACTACACCTATCCTGTGTCTTCAGATCAATGCAGAAGAAGGAAATTAGATAGTAAGATGAACTGGTTTTAGAGTATTTACATGATGCATAGGAAGTGTAGTGTACTGTTTTTTTAAAGTTCTGTTTCTGTATATATGAATTACAAATCAGCCTTTAACTAGTTAAATAATGTTTGTAGTCTACTGCATAGTTACAATGTGTAACCATTGACGTCCCAGGACCAGGAATGGTAAACACTGTTGAAGTGTATAATTGTAATACATACATGCGGACAAAGTGTTAATTAAAAGACTGGAATTTGATACTCCTGGTATTGGATATGACTGAAAAAGAATGTCTCACAGACATTCATTCCTGAACTGCACCTTTATTTGCCATGGTAGAGTACATGATCAGTGAATATATTCAATGTCCAGAATACTATGTGGGGATCTCATGCATGGTCATAACTACATGTATATACGAAGTCTCCCGAGTGGCGCAGTGGTCTAAGGCACTGCATCGCAGTGCTAGCTGTGCCACTAGAGATCCTGGTTCGAATCCAGGCTCTGCTGTAGCTGGCCGCAACCGGGAGACCAATGGGGCGGCGCACAATTCGTCCAGGGTAGGGTAGGGGAGGGAATGGCCGGCAGGGAGGTAGCTCAGTTGCAACGCCAGGGTTGTGGGTTCGATTCCCATGGGGTATGAAAATAAAAAAGAATAATGTATGCACTAACTGTAAGTCGCTCTGGATAAGAGTGTCTGCTAAATGACGTAAATGTAAATATACGACTTAGATCCTTGGCACAATGTTATATTATATTATACTCAGGCTTCATAGCTAGGTTCTGAACTAATAATTATACCAAACGTTTTAGGGTCGGCTACATAGCTAGCTACACATCCATAGGCATACAGCTAGTTTTATCCTCCACTGCACAATATGAAAGAAAATAGTTAGCTAGCTACGTTACTTCAGCTGCATTGCACAGCAAATATCAGCAAGGCAAGCTTACAAAATTGTACATTCAATTTGCAGTAAACGCTTTAGCTAGCTAGAATCTTTACATCCACTGTTTCACAAGACGACAGCCTGGTTGTTTCAGGAGACCCTAAAACATTAAAACAACCAGAATTACAATTTCATACTCATGTCACAACGCCAATAAAGCTAGCCAGCTAGCTGGATAATGTTAGCTAGTCAGCTAGCTCGCTAAATAGCGATTTTCATAAATTAACTTTATGACAAAAAAAAATATGCGTAATCGTTTGTCTGTACATTAACTAAAATATTCCTCTCAACTGTAAAAAATGTTTTGCATGATTCGTTATGACTTTATAATTACTTACATTTGCTTTTATCTTAGTATTTTTGTCAGCCATCTTTGCTGAAGAAAGTCTCTCAGCCGTTGGTCGCTTAGCGTCTAATTCGTCATGGGAACCACTCGATGTGATTGGTCATCGCCCAGCGGTCCGCCTCTGGTGATTTGCATAAAGTTGGGAAAAGTTTTAACTTTTTCACCGCCTCCCATGCCGCCTTCGCGCCGCCCAAAGGTCCCCCGCCCTCGCCGCTTCCCTTCCATTGAAAATGAATGGGAAGCGGTGTTTCACCGCGCGGCACCGACTGCTTATAGCCCAAAAAATCCCCAACCCGCGACCAATACATTTTCTTTCTGCGACATCGTTTTCAAAGTAGCCCAATTGCGAGAAAACCGCGACCTTGGCAAGACTGTGAGAGGAAACTCACGGTCTTGGGACAAAGCCAGATACAATTCCCTCATTGGTTGCTCTGATAAAAGTAAACTTGATCGAGTGTCGATTTTGCGGTTTGCGGTGTAAGGGCAGGATTTATGATTGATCGCTCCTACCTGTGTGACAGTGCTCTCCTCAATTGAAAAGCTCATCTCTCGAATTGAAGAGGCGCCGACTAGAAGCCCCATATCTCGAATGTGATATGCGCTTTCATATAAGCATTGGTATTGCTCAATTACAAGCGTTGCGACTTTGACATTCGAGGTGTGTTTATGCTATTTGTAATTCGACACAGCCGCATTGCTTGCACTACATTTTCATTATACAAAGTGTCAAAATTATATAGTGGAAATGTGACAAAAAAAAATGTTCAATACTCTCTCCGGATGGGACATCAAACAATTTGATTTAATGGTCCTCTGTAGCTCAATTGGTAGAGTATGGCGCTTGTAACGCCAGGATAGTGGGTTCGATCCCCGGGACCACCCATACGTAAAAATGTATGCGCACATGACTAAGTCGCTTAGGATAAAAGCGTCTGCTAAATGGCATATTACTATTATTATTAATAATTTCACTGGAATATCAGTTGGAGACGTTGTTGTCCACAAGGGGGCGTTATAACCACAGCGCCTCTTATGTCGGAAAGACTGCAGCCTGCCGCTTTAAACAAGCTCTAAACAGGAAGCGGTTAGCATCCCGTTAGCGGCTGAACACAGAATCAAGAGCAATAACGTTACATTTGCCCGTGAAATGGCGTTTGTTTTTATTTTGGGAACAGTTCAGTGAGGTACATCTACACTTAGGTAAGAAGCAAGAGCAAATACAGTCTTGGAGAATCCCATCGAACTAGCTAGCTAACTAATGTAAAAGCAAGTTGCCCCTGTTAACTAAGCGTTAGCTACGCTGGCTGCTGTTAACGTTATTAAAGAGCTAGTATGCTAACGTTAGCCATTTTTCTTTGTTAATTGGCTGGCTAACAAGCTGAAATATGTACCGGACTGCGTGTCAATTTCCTATTTCCTTTGCAAGCCTGTGTGTCTAGCTAACTATTGATTTAACTAGGTACCTAGCGAACTAACGTTAACGACCAACTAGCTAGCTAGCTAACTAACGAGCTGGTTGATAGCTATTGCAAAGAGTGACCCTGGCCTGCTGTGTGCAGGTGAGGTGTACACTGTTCCGTTACTACGCAACGCGACACCGGGTAGCAAGTTAACTTAGCTAGCTAACTAAACTCATTCACTCTTTGACTTTGCATATAACGCTGCAGAAACCTGACAACCAACTTATTTTCTAGCAAAGACGCTTGTAATGATATAAAATATTGGCGTGTCTTGATGCTGTGGTAAGTTAGCCAGTGCTAGTAATTGAACTACGCTGGTGATGTGTTAGCTGGCTAGCTAGTTCACTTGACTTGCTAATTAGCTTTAACGTTAGCTAAAGTGACGTTATTCTCCTTATCTTACTTAGATAATGTCTCTCTGTACCATTCAGATGTTAATTTGTGGGAACTTGAATTGAATGCTGACCACAACAACAAGATCTGCAGTGCATCGCTTTTCTGACCGGGGTCGAATGAACATCCATGGTCTGTGCTGCAGCTGTTGAGGTGCCAACGCCACGAGTTCCCTGACAGAAGAACAAAAACATCCACAGACAAACGGGTATGTTATGGTACCCTAACAACGTTATATACACAAAGCCGAAGTTGATAGCCAATATAAATGGTCAGATATACATTTTCTGTGCCCATCGAGACTTGGGTCCAAGCCTCTCAGTGTAGTAGTGCTGATCTAGGTTGAGGTCCATGCTGTCCATGTAATCTCATTCATTGTGATCTAAAAGGCTGATCCAAGATCACCACTTCTACTCTGAGATGGTGTGATGTCAAGTGGCTATTGGTGAAGTCTTCATTCATCTAGCTAGGGATGTGTGTCTCTGTGATTCTAGTTTTCCCGACCCAGGCGGTTGCCATGCACCTGTAAGCCGCTTCCTGTCAGCCAGCCAGCCACCCAGGCCCAGCCACAGCGCTCCGGTGACGGTCGGTGGTCCTCTCCGGTCCAGTGGGTCCCCATGGAGCCCAGTGATGACGTGGCGCTGGATATCATTATCACCAACGTGGTGGCTGTATTCAGGACACGCTGCCACCTCAACCTGCGCACCATCGCTCTGGAGGGGGTCAACGTCATCTATAAACCTGAATATGGGGTAAGGACGGATACATAATGGGTGCACTGGCGGCCATTTTGAGTGTACCCATAGGAGCTAGTTTTAAAAAATACAGGTTAAGACAACAGGATTCTAATATCCCATAACTCTTTGCAACAATGGAACTAGCGTTGCTAGTTAGCAACGGCACAAGCACTTGTCATGAATTTGCTTATTTTCGAACACTTCCGCATGGAATTATTACAGTCTTAACCTGTATTTCTTAACATAGTTTAGGAGCAAAGCAGGAAGTAAAATCAGAAAGTGTACCCCTCAATCGGTTCTGTAATTTGTTGAATCAACTCAATTGACATTACAAAAAAATGCAATCAATTGCATGAGCCACATCAGTTAGCATCATTTGAATGAAAATTCCACATTACCATGGAAATGATTGCACCACAATACCATGCAGCCATTGTGAGTGCAGCCATTAGTTTACCAGTCAAATTGCCAGGGTTAGAGGTTCCAAGCCCATTCTATTTCTATGGTGAGGACACCACCTGGGACCTGTTATCTTGTTTTACCTTTCCACTAGCTTTTCCTTTATTCCTCTCAAGGTTTCTAGAGTTTTGTGATCTCGAGGAAACCTGGGGCGTTACTTTGAGGAAACCTGGGGCGTTACTTTGAGGAAACCTGGGGCGTTACTTTGAGGAAACCTGGGGCGTTACTTTGAGGAAACCTGGGGCGTTACTTTGAGGAAACCTGGGGCGTTACTTTGAGGAAACCTGGGGCGTTACTTTGAGGAAACCTGGGGTGTTACTTTGAGGAAACCTGGGGCGTTACTTTGAGGAAACCTGGGGCGTTACTTTGAGGAAACCTGGGGCGTTACTTTGAGGAAACCTGGGGCGTTACTTTGAGGAAACCTGGGGCGTTACTTTGAGGAAACCTGGGGCGTAATGGATCTACATACTGCTTTGAGCAGATGAATTTTTGGAACGGGCCGTATATAAACACGACTCTCCGTCGTTCTGTTTGCGTAGAGTATGCAGAGCCCTTTAGCTGCTCTGTGACTAAGAACTGTGTAAGAAGTGTGTGTATTGTATAATACTATCCTGTGTGTGTGTGTGACATCCAGAAAGTTCTGATGAAGCTCCGTAAACCCAGGATCACCGCCTCCATCTGGTCCTCAGGGAAGATCATCTGTACTGGAGCCACCAGGTACACACACACACACACACACACACACACACACACACACACATTACACACACACACCACACACACATTACACACACACACACATTACACACACACACACACACCACACACACATTACACCGCACACACACCACGATACACAAACACACAACGCACCGGAGCTACCAAGTACTCACACACACACTGATCTGTGTCACTGATGTGTCTCTGTTTCTCTCCTGTGTGTCCCCAGTGAGGATGAGGCTAAGCAGGGAGCCCGGAGGTTAGCCCGCACCCTGCAGAAACTGGGCTTCAAGGTACGAGATAACACACTCCTCTTCATGGTCCCCTAACCAGACCTACTGCACTAACTTGTACATGACCCGTGTGGTTTAGTTGGTACAGCATGGCACTCGCAATGCCAGGGTTGTGGGTTTGATTCCCACAGGGGACCAGTACGGGGGGCAGAAAAGACCATCTGCTAAATGACTCAAATATATAGTATAGTATACAACCATCTAAGTCAGAAAACAGCATTAACGTGACGGGAATCGATTCCTTATGAAAGAGTTGATTACGGTTCCCACATCCTTAAGGAATTGGGAATCAACTATTTTTGCAATCCGAGCCCTAACTACCGCCCACCACAAACTTTAACGTGCACGTGACTCTGTGTGTAACTCTGTGTGTGTGTGTGTGTGACTCTCTGTGTGTGTGTGTGACTCTCTGTGTGTGTGTGTAACTCTCTGTGTGTGTGACTCTGTGTGTGTGACTCTGTGTGTGTGTGTGTGTGTGAGACTCTGTGTGTGTGTGTGTGACTCTGTGTGTGTGTGTGTGTGACTGTGTGTAACTCTGTGTGTGTGACTCTGTGTGTGTGTGTGTAACTCTGTGTGTGTGACTCTGTGTGTGTGTGTGTGTGAGACTCTGTGTGTGTGTGTGTGTGTGACTCTGTGTGTGTGACTGTGTGTAACTCTGTGTGTGTGACTCTGTGTGTGTGTGTGTAACTCTGTGTGTGTGACTCTGTGTGTGACTCTGTGTGTGACTCTGTGTGTGTGTGTGTGTGAGACTCTCTGTGTGTGTGTGTGACTCTGTGTCTGTGTGAGACTCTCTGTGTGTGTGTGTGTAACTCTGTGTGTGACTCTGTGTGTGTGTGTGTGTGTGTGTGTAGGTGAGGTTCTCAGAGTTCAAGGTGGTGAACGTGCTGGCAGTGTGCTCCATGCCCTTCGCCATCCGACTCATCGATTTCACCAAGAACAACCGGCCCATCGCCAGGTAACACACTCACACACTGTCACCGCGACAACCATTGCCAAACGTTGCCACAGATCTCCACGCTCAACACAGCAGTGTGTTACCGTATGGGTGAGGCCTTTCTATAGTAAGGCCTGTAAGGGGTGTTTCCAGCCAGAACGACCCATAGGGCCAGGAGCGGTAGGGTGAGGCAGCTTAATGTACAGGACACCCCCTGGACAGGACACTAGTCTATCTCCTGTTTCTGTAGTGAGACAGCTCGATGTACCAGTACACCCCCTGGACAGGACACTGGTCTATCTCCTGTTTCTGTAGTGAGACAGCTTGATGTACAGTACACCCCCTGGACAGGACACTAGTCCATCTCCTGTTTCTGTAGTGAGGCAGCTTGATGTACCAGGACACCCCCTGGACAGGACACTAGTCTATCTCCTGTTTCTGTAGTGAGACAGCTTGATGTACAGGACACCCCCTGGACAGGACACTAGTCTATCTCCTGTTTCTGTAGTGAGACAGCTTGATGTACAGGACACCCCCTGGACAGGACACTAGTCTATCTCCTGTTTCTGTAGTGAGACAGCTTGATGTACCAGTACACCCCCTGGACAGGACACTAGTCTATCTCCTGTTTCTGTAGTGAGACAGCTTGATGTACAGGACACCCCCTGGACAGGACACTAGTCTATCTCCTGTTTCTGTAGTGAGGCAGCTTGATGTACAGTACACCCCCTGGACAGGACACTAGTCTATCTCCTGTTTCTGTAGTGAGACAGCTTGATGTACAGGACACCCCCTGGACAGGACACTAGTCTGTCTCCTGTTTCTGTAGTGAGACAGCTTGATGTACCAGTACACCCCCTGGACAGGACACTAGTCTATCTCCTGTTTCTGTAGTGAGACAGCTCGATGTACAAGCACACCCCCTGGACGCTAGTCAAGAATCGATGGTATATCTTTAATTGAAATGCTCGTTGAACAGCAGTGAATGTCAGATTGTACCATAAGTCTAAGCGGACAGTTGGCCCCGAAATCAATGTTTTAGGGTGGGCCAAACTGGCACATTGATTTTAAATGCTTTCTCAATGGGAGTGAATGACACGTCCATACCCTTACAATTTCCATCCATTTTCACTCCATTAGCCACTACTCACCAAAACACTGTGGATGGAAACGTGGTTACTGACAGTCACTCAATTAGCCCATGTCGGCTAATATTTTTTAGATTGGTAAGTTAGTCTAGCCAGCTCTCTAAACTTGTAGAAATCATTTACATTTTAGTCATTTAGCAGACGCTCTTATCCAGAGCTACTTAGTTAGTGAGTGCATACATTGGGAGGACCTCTAGTGGCCAAGCCGGGTTACTGCTCCCTCCACAACATGGCTTCACATGGCAAGTGCATCAAATCAAATGTTATTTGTCACCTGCCCCGAATACAGCAGGTGTAGACCTAACTGTGAAATGCTTACTTACAAGCCCTTAACCAACAATGCAGTTTTAAGTAAAATAAGAGTTAAGAAAAATATTTACTAAATAAACTAAAGTTAAAAATAAATAATAAAGTTGTCCCCCTGTAGCTCAGTTGGTAGAGCATGGCGCTTGCAACGCCAGGGTTGTGGGTTCGTTTCCCACGGGGGGGGGGGGGGGGGGGGCAGTATGAAAATGTATACACTCACTAACTGTAAGTGGCTCTGGATAAGAGCGTCTGCTAAATGACTAAAATGTTATTTTGTATTATGACTTGTTAAGAACATCTTTACTCCTGAACATATTTATTCTGGCCATAACAAAAGGGTTGGATACTTATTGACTCAAGACATTTCACCTTTTCATGTTTTATTAATGAATGACATTATAGGGTATTGTGTGTAGGACAGTGATACAAAATCTCAATTTAATCCATTTTAAATTCAGGCTGTAAAACAACAACATGTGGAAAAGTCCAAGGGTGTGAATACTTTCTGAAGGCACTGTATATCTAAATAGTGCTCTGTGTGTGTGTGTGGTGTGTGTGTGTGTGTGTGTGTGTGTGGTGTGTGTGTGTAGCTATGAGCCGGAACTCCATCCCGCTGCCACCTACAGGATCAAAACCCTCAAGGCCACCGTCCAAGTTTTCTCCACTGGCAGCCTTACCATCACAACACACACCGTACAACACACACACACACACACCGTACAACACACACACCGTTACAACACACACACAAACAACAACACACATACACACACACGTCACACACACACACACACCGTCAACAACACACAAACACACCACACCGTTACACACACAACAACACGTTAAAGTACAACATACACACAACACACAACAAACCGTCATTACAACACATACACACACACAACACCACCGTTACACACACCACACACACAACCACACACACCGTTACACACCCACACAACCGTTACACACACACACACACACACACACCGTTACACACACACACAACACACCGTTACACACACACACACACACCGTTACACACACACACACCACACCACACACCGTTACACACACACACACACACCGTCACACACACACACACAAACACACACACACCGTACACACACACACACACACCGTTACACACACACCACCTTTACAACACACACCGTTTACCAACACACACACCCACAACCACTGTTACACACACACAACACACCGTTACAACACACGAACACACCGTTACACACACACAAACAAAACCGTCACACACACACACACCGTCACACACACACACAAATATAATAATAAAATATGCCATTTAGCAGACGCTTTATCCAAGCGACTTACATCATGCGTGCATACATTTTGTGTATGGGTGGTCCCGGGTTCGAACCCACTACCTTGGCGTTACAAGCGCCGTGCTCTACCAGCTGAGCTACAGAGGACCACACAACACACACCAACACGTCACACACACACACCGTTACACACACACACACACCGTTACACACACACACACACCGTCACACACACTTTACTTTTACATCTTGTCACTTCTGTGGAAACTTGAAAGCTGTGTCCAGCCGCACCCAAACACCATGTTGTCATATGACTTAACTGTGTTTTCTGTCTGTGTGTCCCTCTCAGGACCGAACGTGCAGACTGTAGCCACGGCCGTAGAACACATCTACCCCATGCTGTCAGAGTGTCAGAAACCTCTCCGAAAATAACACACAGACAAGGGGAAAAAAAGATCAACAAAATAGAGAAAGAAAGACAGAGAAAGAAAGAAAGGCAAAAAAAAAGCACCTTATCCATTGGATGCGATTGTATTGTCCTCAACTTTTATCTGCCTGGCAACAGTCTGGGCTTTTGTCCCGATTTGGCTGGATTTGACCTGGATTTTATTATTTGTTTTAACTTGAGGTCCCCAGGAAGTCAGAAAGGCAGCTTCCGTCCTCCTACTGTCCGATGACCTGTTGTCTTGGTGACAGCTACGCCCTCTGAACTTTGACCATGGGATGACCTTACAGTATGACCTCTAACCTTTCAGCTTTAGCAGCCAGCCAGCCAGCCAGCCAATGATGGCTGCTCCAGTGACTGATTGACACTAGAAGGGGTGTGACTCTCCAAGTCGACCAGGATTCCTTAGTTTTAAATTGTATTATTTTAGTTTTGATGTCACGGTCTGTGTCTCAAATGGCACCCTATTTTCAATGTAGTGTCCTGGTCAACAGTAGTGCACTAATATAGGGAATAGAGTGCTATTTGGGATGCAGCCTCAGTGTTTTAATGCATGGGCAGACAGACCAGTCTTCAACGTGACCTGTCCCACAAAACACAACAAGCGTTTTAACAGAACATGACGTAACATACATTTCTATAGGAAAGCTTTTAAAGTCCCATTTGACCATGGTGTTAAATAGAGCCTTGGTTTTAACCCCTGTATTCATCTGCTCTCTATTCAAGTCACTGGGATTTGCAAAATTCCAGTAACGTTCCACAAATCCTGGTCGGATGATTCCAGATTACTTACTTATTCCATCCTGTTCTGGGAAAACTTCCAACTGGGATTTCTTGAAAACCTGGGAATTCTGGGACAGTTACTGGTATTATTGCAACCTTACATGTCACCTTTTAACCACAGATCTAGGATCAGATGTGTCCGTCCACCTTTTGTAGTCTTAAGCATAATTTGAGATGCATCCTCTGGAAGACCGTCCAGGAGTTGTTCAGGCTGGGGCTTTGAACACTTGGCAGACATGTTGTTATTATTGATCTATGGAGAGTAACGCCTGCTGGAATGGGAAATGCAGTGCTGTCATATTCCTGTCCTGTTTGTTGTATGTTCAAACTTTTTTTTTGTATTTTATAAAAAAAAAAAAAAAAAAGGGGAAAGTAACTAAATAAAATAGGGTAAATGTTTCTCTCTCGCTCTCTCTCTATTGGTCTCTGTGAGAGAGAGAGAGAGAGAGAGAGGGGGTTACAGTGACTTGGTCAGTGTATCTTGGCTTTCTTGTGTAAGAAGCAGACTAACAACGTGCACTTTGACCCCTACACTGCCTAGTCTCAATTCACAGGCAGTGGGCCTCCACCACAGACCCACTCCCACTCCCTGGCCTTTTTATCAATTTGATTTACTCACCTCTTGCATCCTTTCTCCTCCGTCCTTAACCTCCGTCCTTTCTCACCTCTTTTATGAAAAAGGTTGAAGTTTAATCGTGCAGAATCAGCGAGGCGAGTTAACGTGGAAGGAAATGCGCTTGCTTGAAATGAGGGTCCTTTTCCACTCACGCATCATTAGGCAAATTCCGTTTACAGAAGAAAAATGTGTAAATTGATCAAAACAAATGACGTTAGTTGTGCAAGACATTTTATAGATAAAACAATAAAGCAGCATATCGTTTTGAAAACGGGTGTGTGTTTTTCTCCTCTGGTGGAACTCAGCCGGTGTCTCCATGTTGACAGTTAAAATACTACAATACACAAGGTGCATCAGCAGTTTCTGTCTTATGTCAGTTGGTCGCTAGGTTTCCATCCAATTGGCGACATTTTCGTGCAAATATTCTAAAATATGCACATTTTCCCACCAGTGGTGTGTTTCAATCAAACTAACGTGTTGCGGATAAAAGTCAGTGCGTGATGACATAGTACACACAAAATGTACTTTTTCGCTTAAGTTTTCAAGTACAGAATAAAAATCTAAAGTTCAATGTGTTTCCATCACATTTTAAACTCTACCGATAGTATTGTCACAAACTGTTGAGTTAAATAACTAATGGTGGTCCTCTTTAGCTCAATTGGTAGAGCATGGCGCTTGTAACGCCCAGGGTAGTGGGTTCGATCCCCGGGACCACCCATACGTAAAAATGTATGCGCACATGACTGTAAGTCGCTTTGGATAAAAGCGTCTGCTAAATGGCATATTACTATTATTATTATAATGTGCCTCCTCTGGTCCTGGCACATGCTCTCTAGCACACAGCTCATATACAGTGCAGGTAGGCTAGTCTACATGAGGAGATTATTATGGATAAGAGCGAGAAGATTTGTATTTGTCAAACGGCAGTCGAGCATCGATCATCATGTCACCAGAATAAGATCCTAGATACAGTTGAAGTCGGAAGTTTCAATACACTTAGGTTGGAGTCATTAAAACTCGTTTTTTCAACCACTACACATGTCTTGTTAACAAACTATAGTTTTGGCAAGTCGGTTAGGACATCTACTTTGTGCATGACACAAGTAATTTTTCCAACAATTGTTTACAGACAGATTATTTCACTTATAATTCATTGTATCACAATTCCAGTGGGTCAGAAGTTTACATACACTAAGTTGACTGTGCCTTTAAACAGCTTGGAAAATTCCAGAAAATGATGTCATGGCTTTAGAAGCTTCTGATTGGCTAATTGACATAATTTGAGTCAATTGGAGGTGTACCTGTGGATGTATTTCAAGGCCTACCTTCAAACTCAGTGCCTCTTTGCTTGACATCATGGGAAAATCAAAAGAAATCAGACCTCAGAAAAAAATTGTAGCCCTCTACAAGTCTGGTTGATCTTTGGGAGCAATTTCCAAATGCCTGAAGGTACCACGTTCATCTGTACAAACAATAGTACGCAAGTATAAACACCATGGGACCACGCAGCTGTCATACCGCTCAGGAAGGAGACGTGTTCTCTTTCCTAGAGATGAACGTACTTTGGTGCGAAAAGTGCAAAGCTTGTGGAAGGCTACCCAAAATGTTTGACCCAAGTTAAACAATTTAAAGGCAATGCTACCAAATACTAATTGAGTGTATGTAAACTTCTGACCCACTGGGAATGTGATGAAAGAAATAAAAGCTGAAATAAATCATTCTCTCTACTATTATTCTGACATTTCACGTTCTTAAAATGAAGTGGTGATCCCAACTGACCTAAAACAGGGAATTTTTTACTAGGATTAAATGTCAGGAATTGTGAAAAACTGAGTTTAAATGTATTTGGCTAAGGTGTATGTAAACTTCCTGACTTCAACTGTATTTACTGGAAAGGAGCATCAAGCTCATCACCGTACACTTTCACCACCCTGTGAAGTTCATAATGTATTTCATCTGTAGCCTACTAATAAACTGCATGGTTTCCCGAGTCCTAGTGGGAGGACCACACACCATCATCGCGTGACTCCACGTTTCCTTCCATATGATGGTTATTATATCAATAGTTGCGCATAAAGGTGTTTCCACCACCATTAGTCACGCTCCGATATCATATTCAGAACTGCAAATGTTTCTCTCCACCCTATGGCAGAATTAGTAGAATTGCAGGAAATCTGCTGTAAAACGTGAATTTTTTTGTCTCTCTGCTGTCAAGGGAGGGGTCTGCTAAAATGTTTTGCAAAATGTCACTTAGGGCCCCCGAAAAGGCATGCTCTGACTGCATGTGTGGGTGTTGATGTGGGTAAGCAGACCCGGGAGCAACTGCGGCCCCGCATGATGTTCAGATTTTTTATGGCCCCCGCCCCATCAAAGTTGGTGGTCCTCTGTAGCTCAATTGGTAGAGCATGGCGCTTGTAACGCCAGGGTAGTGGGTTCGATCCCCGGGACCACCCATACGTAAAAATGTATGCGCACGTGACTGTAAGTCGCTTTGGATAAAAGCGTCTGCTAAATGGCATATTATTTATTTATTTAAAGTTGCCTATCCAGTAACGCGGTGTTGTGGGTGGTACCTGGAGTTATGAACAATCTTCATATTGCAATACGTCAATATGGTGAAGGATGAATCATTGTCAAGGTTGAAAAGTAAAGAAAAGCAACAACTTAAATACACAAGGAATAATCAAACCCACACAAACTCTGCTTACACAAGGAACAAACCAACTAAGCAAACACACACTACTGTCCGTGGCTGTGTTATTAGCGTTATTAGTGTTTGTCAAGAGGCGAAGCATCGCGAGACTTCCAGGAAAAGCTTGCGAAACAGACTAAGCAGGCCGGGTTTTGGGCTTAGAGAAGTCTATAGAGTACCACAGTACGAGTCATAATACCCATAAAGCCTAGCGGTCAAACATGAAAATGGTTCCAATAGTTTTTCCACCATAAATGTTTCCCGTAGGAGATTTTAGAAACACTTCATTTTTTTTTTTTAAAAAAAAAGCCCCCAAAGGTTTTGGGGGCCCCCCAATAAGGGGGCCCCCCTTTTGTTTAAAGGCATGGGCTAAAAAAAAAGGGGTTTCCCCCCAAAAAGGGAAAAAAAACGGCCGTTTCTTAAAAAAAAGTGAAAAGAAATTTTTTAAAAGCACCCAATTTGGGAACGGAAACTCTTTTTTAATTTAAATGAAGAAATTTGGTGTAAGGGAGGGGGGGGAAAAAAAAAAAAACCCCCCAAAACCTTTTGGGGGGGTTTAAAAAAGGGGGGTGGGGGGGGGGGGGGCCCCCGGGTTTCAAAATTTTGGGCCCGACAAAGGGGTTTTTGTGTAAAAGATGGCGCCCAACACCCCTAGGGTTCCCAACAAAAAATTCCAATACTCCCGCTTAAAGCCCAATTTAATTTCATTTAATTTTCCCTTCGGTTTGGGGCCTTTTGAAAAACCTTATTGCCAATACGTAAATTTAAACCCTTTCCCCCCCCCCCCAAAAAAAAAAAAAACAAAAACCAAAAATAATCCCCAACAAACTCACCAAACCCAACAACACCCCCCCCTTTATTATTTTCAAAGGAACACCAACTTCCAAAACCCCCCCACCCCCCACGGGTTTTCCAAACCAAAACCCAGCCCGCAAAAAAACCAAAGTTTTTCCCATTTCCAAATTTTTTTAAAAACTCAAAAGTCTTCCCTACAGTTTTTCCAATTTTCCTTGGAACACTTTATACCCCCCCAAAAAACCCCCCAAAAACAAAAAAAAAACCAAAACAAAAAAAAAACAAAAAAAACAAAAAAAAACCCCCCACCCCCCACAAAAACCCCCCCCCCCCAAAACCCAAAATAAACAAAAAAACAACAACACACAAAAAACCCCCAACCACCCCCCAAAAAAACCACAAAACCCCCCCAACCCAACAAAAACCCCCCCCCCCCCCCACCCACCCCCCCA